TCACTAAATTACAGGATTTAAATAGCTTGGCAATATAATTAGTTTACAAGTTAGGGTTACAGCTGCAGTTATAACAAGCTGGGGATGTTCTTCTGCGATCGGTTTTGATATTTTGCAACAAACATAGATGGAAAGAGATATATATTAACCATGCAATCACAATGGTAAATTGATGCATTTGCAATTCTAAATATGCCACATTACATACTCTTAACCGTTTCGGTATTGTCCCTGCTGTCAAATAACAGTATGGGTTCTCTTACCAATTCAACTTAACTGCTTAGGAAAAATGCTTTAAATTTTGCTCATTATATGAATGTAATTAGCATTCATCAATTGTACTCATTAATACTGCCACATTAGGTTAAACAATGGAAAAATCATTACAGTACTCCTGCAAACAAGAACAATTAATACCAACAATCAGTGAAAAGACCAGAAAATTGAGCATTAAAGGGGCCCTATTATGCTCATTTTCACTGTTCATAATTCTTTTTTTTGGGTTCTACTAGAAAAGATTTACATGGTTCAATGTTCCAAAAACACTATTTTTTTCTCATACTGTATATCCTTATTCACTCCACCTATAACACACTGTTAGTACTTTAGGGCCTACCCCCAATTGAGCCCAATGTGCTCTGACTGGTCAGCTTGCCAAACTGGTCAACTTGCTCTACATGTTCCGCCCCTGTCTTACAGTCTGCTGAAAGCTTGCAAGTAGGCAGCCAATAAGGATTGTGTTACAAGGTGACCTCACCATGTCACAGAAGCAAGGGCTGGAATCCCGGCGAGGCGTTCCAGGTAGATTAGAGAATAGTGGTTTCTATGGCGAGTGTTACTCCCTTTACTTTGGGTCTTAAGATTTTGCAGACTGTTAACATGCACATAGAGCTGTAAAACTAAATACCGAAAAGGAAAAACCAGAAAAGCATAATAGAGCCCCTTTAATAAACACCCTATAGTTCAAAGCTTTGCAGTTATGTGGAGTGGCATTGTTAAAATTGTCCACAGGCCGTACACATGTATGCCTCTCATATATCCACAGTAACACATTCGCAATGCCCCACCATCAATGCACATTGATCATAATCAACCCCATTCACACTTCCATCTGTATTACAAAAGCAAAGGTCTTTAGGTATAGCATTTCTTCTCTCCAACAAGCACAAACCTCAACAGCTAAAAACAATCCATAAACATATCAAAAGGAAAAGGTGGAACAATAACTGGTCCAAAAGTATCAACACCCTGCATCCTTATAACGCTGAAAATAATGGACAAACCATAAATACATCACTCAGACACTTAAGAACACTATAACAGAAGAAACGCCGAGCTGAGAGTAAAGCTTTTTCAAAAAACATTGTCTTTACCTACCTGATGAATTTCCACTCCATTACCAATCTTTATGGCACACAAACAGCAGCTCCAAACAAAACGCAGTAGGCAAGCAAACAGAACAACAGTGAACATATTTGTAGTCAAATGCCATAAAAGGGGATTATGAAAAGATCATCCAGAAACCTAAACATTAACATCTCCAAGCAACTGCAGAAGTCTGGATATAAAACGCTGGATGCGACGGCACTTGTGTCAGACAACGTCTTCCCTCCATTTGCATGAAGCAATCTCTATTCCTAACAGCACTACTATAACAGCATGAGTATGTTTAATTTATTGGGGATAAAAATCTCAAAAGAAAAAACTGTGTGCGAAAACATCTCTTCATAAATAGTGTAGCAACACAGTGACATCAAGAGAACACAAAATGATCTTGCCAATAATTTCCACAATACAATCATATGGTACTATAAAATCACTGCACCTGCTGTTCTCTACTTTAATAAAAAAAAAAAGAAAATCCTCATCATGATAACATCACAAGTTGCACTAAGTAAATGGTTTTTTTTTTTTATATCAAAGTAATCTTTGTCGTCTTTTGCAAGACTCTGGTATCTTGAAATGTACACACAGTCTTTCAAACAATAACTGTTTTGATTTTAAGGGAGTAAATCTACAAGATTACTAGCCCTTTGTGTTCTCAGTCAAGTGTTGACAAACTTAATGTAAGTGTAGCACTTGAATCAATAGCACACTCATTAAAATACCTCTTCATCTTAATTAAAAACCACTGAAAGTGACAAAGTCCTGAGAAGAAAAATACCTAACACACCCAATTTAATAAATAGTGCTAGACAGTATATAAAGATTTACAGTCCAATACAAGCGAAAATGTACATAATTAAAACTCACACGTAAAACTATCGCTATGTAATGTCTTCAAACATGACTTCACATGTAAAAAGTGATGACAGTAATTTTATTCATGTCCCCATTAAGGACATGTTAATGACCTTGCACAAATAAATATGGTCATTAATACTAAACGTTATATAAATCAAATTTGCTTCCTTTGTCATCATTACAAGTTGGTTCATATTATCAAAAGCCTGTCTAGTATGCAAGAACACATCACCAACTTTTCACAAAAAAGCACTTAATGTATGAATGTGACTTATAAGATCAACAAACAAATTTTCCAAAAATGCATTAACTAAATTATACATAATCACCAAACTGTGTGAAAAAACTGGAAACACACACAGTGCAGGTTTGTCAGCAGGTTTTCGCCAGATACATAAAGATACCCAGCGTAGGTGAAATGGTGTCTTCGTGCTCACTAACATGGACTGGTCACAATGATAAAGATACCCAGGGTAGGTGAAATGGTGTCTGCGCGCACACTAACATGGACTGGTCACAATCATAAAGATACCTAGTGTAGGTGAAAAGGTGTCTGCATGCGCACTAATATGAACTGGTCACAGTCATAAAGATACCCAGTGTAGGTGAAATGGTTTCTGCGTGCACACTAACATGGACTGGTCACAGTCATAAAGATACCCAGTGTAGGTGAAAAGGTGTCAGCGTGCGCACTAACATGGACTGGTCACAATGTACCGTCTCACTTTCTATACTTCCTGGGAGAGTCTCCAGGCTTATAGTGACTGATCCGAATAAGCCGTTCCTGAGAAGACTATCAAATGTTTCCTTATTTTAGGTGAAAGGATTGCCAAGTGTATAACATGGAGGACATAACTAAACTGATCTCGTGAACTGATACTGGCATTTCATAATTTTTAGGATTTAATTTCCCCCAGTAAATGAATGTTCCAGTTGTCATCTTGTGGATCAATTATACAAATCTGACAACATGCAATGGCAAGGTTAATAATATAGGTGCCCAAAAATATGAACTGTTAAATTTTGCAAAAAAAAAAAAAAAAAAACATTAATTAGCAATTTAATGCCAAATACAAATGTTAAAATCATTGTTATAAATGGATGCCCAACTCAACAATGCGCTTTCCTGAAATACCTGGTCTAAAGAGCATTGGCATTCCACCCTCCCAACTGGCATCTACCATTGGTTTTGATTTAATTCTGTTAATCCCGTCTACATATATCATAATTGCACTTTATATTGTGTGTGTGTGTGTGTGTGTGTATATATATATATATATATGTATGTATATTTATCATTTCTGCATTAGATTTGTGTGGCTCTTGCATGGTTGCACGTAACCGGACCTGTTGCAAAGAAATTCACACCTAGGGACCAAAAACGAATAACCACCGATCATTTGTCCAGGATTCCCCCACCCCCACCCAAATTAACAAAGAAGCATGCACATTCTCCTTAGCTAGAATACTCGATAAAACAAAAAATGAATCATTTTAGATCTTGGGGAAAAAACTATGTACACGATCAGAAAGTTGGATAAAATCATGTTTAGAAATGAATGCCAACTGCAACAATTGCTAAGAAGCAAACAGAGAAACCTAAAATGTGACACCTCTACCTCATTAACCCAGCCAATCTTCATAACATTACTTTTGACATTGTGTCCAACTAAATATACTTTGCACATAGTAGCCTTGGACTACAATCGAGGCCTTGGAACATCTCCACCTAAGCTGCATAAATACAGACATGACATACTTCATACCTTCTCGAAAGATCAAATTATCAGAAGTCATTCTTCAAAATAAACAATGCAGATCTCCAAGTGACAAACACAAAAGCTCTAATATTAAGAATCCATTCAATATGTTAGACACACCAATGTACACCATGTACCTTTCTAAAACCCAGACGACGAGATTGCTGGTTCATTCTTATTGTTTATTGTTCAGAATCATCAGGGCTTTCATTTTAAAAGTACAAATGTCCCACATTTAACCATGTCTAACCTCCTGCAAGTTGTTATAATCAATGCATCTAAAGGGAACAGTGAACATGTAATCATGAGAAAAATGAGTAAAAAATAAAAAATAAAAACTCGGCTATTAAACATCAACCTGTGACTTCAAAACCAGATTTGACGTCATATTAGTTGTTACTTAATATTCTAACAGAACAAAAGCACAACTTTTGCAAGACGAACACTGATAACATTTCATTTGCAAATCAAATGTTCTCAAACACCTTTTAATGAAATCTCACAAGTAATGTGCATGACTTCTCATTTGAAGTAGCCACTTAGTTTATCCTCTAGTTTATGAAGTGCTTCTTATTAACTAATATTATCTTTCAGTTTTTAAATCCATAGTTAAGGACAAAGTTTTTAACCAACTTCCGATATTGGATGTTCAGTCTCACATATTTTAGGAGTTTGTGTTGGCTAGGCAGGTAGCCTGTGAGTGATAAACAATAGTCTGAAATAATTTAAGTCATAGTTAACAAGCTGGCTAATGTTTGCATATTTTATGATTAAAAATAGCAGTCACGTAGAGGTGCCGATAGAACATGGCTACCTTTATTTTTGCCCCTCTTCTAGGTTATCGGCGTTATTATTATTATAAACACTCGTGCTTGAAAGCTAAGTAGCTATGGAGTAAAACGAGATATGCACAACTTACAACACAATTGCCATATGTTAGTATTTAGTTATAAAAACACGTCTACTACCGAAATATACTTCTAATTTAAGACTTACCTTTTCTGTTGTGTTACCACATCTGTGTTTTTGATATAAATCTGCAACAAAGCAGAGCCAGAGAGCACAAAAAGGCAGGGAAGTAGCTAGCTAGCTAACACAGTAGCCGAGACTATGCTGAGCTAGCTAGCTAGTTAAAGGGAGGGGGATGTGTGCCACTTTGTTTTTCTTTTAATAAATGTTAGCGACCACTCATGAAATCGTATTTTACTTATATGTAACGATATGTGTAGAGATAGACGTTAGCTATCCGCAAATATCAATGTCATCAATGTCGGTATTTTTTCGTTCTCTCACCTTAATCTTTAGGCACCTCCTCTTAGAGACGAATGGTGAAAAATATAAAGTTCCACCCACTTTCCAGTATGCTGGGCTCCAATTGGCCGCTCATGTGGCATAGGGTTGGATTGTCAACCAATGAGGTCAAGAGGTCGTGATTTAAAAACAGGAGTGAGCTGACTGAATGATTTTAAGTGGCAGCGGCTTTTACTCAGTTATGCCAGCTCCGTATTTTTTTAATCGAAACCTATTGACACAAATATTTATAATGTGTGTGGACTTGAAGTGTTCTCTGTGTGTTTGAGTGGGATCTCCCTAGGCATCGTGATTTTCTTCCACAATCTAGAAATATTAAATTAAATGTGAAATTATGTAACTGTTGGACCCCAATAAACTGACGCTTGGAGTAAACTCCAGTGCTTAACTGTTAACTGTGTTATAAAAGATAGGTGGAACTTCTCTCATGTAGGGTGGTATTAAACAGCTGGTCCCTCTTTCTGAGGTAACATTTCTTATCCCACCAGCATGTCCTGGGACTGCCCTTGGGTCTTCTAGAGGTATGCTCCCAAGTTACTTATGATATGCCGAAACTACATCCACTGACTCAGTCTGAAGGAACAGTTTCTCTTTTTCAAGCTCCATCAATAACTGTGAGCTTCACACCCTGTCATGGGGAGTAGGGCTCATTTTTGCAGCATGTACTTGTTCTCATGGTCCCCTTTTTAAAATTGGGGGCTACCAACACCACATGCATGTGTTCCATCATGGTGTTCAATATGCTGTGCAGATAGATTGTACATAAGTCCAGTAACAGAAATCCAAATAAAGAGGTTGTGTTTAGATCAGGGAAGCCACTTTTCTGCATTGTTCCCCACATGGGAATTGAAGTTACTCAATCAGACCACATAATCCACGGAGGCCTGGGACTTATGAACATCTCCTCTCTCCTGTCTGGGGTCTTTCTCTGTGACAAACTTCAGAATAGGAGTAACTCCACCATCAATCCAGGACCTACATTATGCTTGGAGGTAAGGCAGGAAAAGGTGTACAGATCCAGACCAAAATTATGTTTCAACCAACCTGATGACCATTAAGAGTTACATTCACGGAGTATTAGACTGGTTGGTTGAAACAATCTCTTGGTCTGGATTTGTACTTTCTGAACCTGAACTTTCCACCTCTGTTAGGCAGAATATATTTAGGCAATACCAGTTTCCTTCTCCCTTAGTAGAGTCACATCTAGGCCAGGTTACCTGGATGGTCCATCCACCAGTCAATCTTCACTGAGAACCGGGTTGGGCTTTGGTAACTAAGTCAACGCAGCATACTATCTCACCTGGGGGTCCTTCTTTAGATATAGCTTGTCTGGCTTCTCTTCACAAACCCTTTTGCTAAGGGGGCCCTACCTGGAAGATCATTGAAGCACACAATCTCTTCCCCTGTGCTAAAATCTCAATCCTGCAAGTGGTAATAGGCAGATGGGAATGCTGAAGGCTTGGCAATAAGATACAGCAGACATGCAGCCTGAATGAAGATGATGAGCACAGGAATGCTAGAAAAATGTAAAGCATGGCTTGAAGTTTTTAAAGATGTTCACGGTCTAAAGGAATGAATTCAGCTGATATCATACAAAAAATGTGGTGAAAGTCAGTTAGAGATGATCTATGTTGAGATAAGGAGGGGGGTTAGGGTCACACCTATGACCATACAGAAAATCAGAGTGAATGACTGAACCAGTAAGTGAGGCAAAGGACATATGAAAGTAGATGTCAGACTGTGACACTGCAGTTTAAAATGGCGAAAATCTACCCTGCTGGGAATGTTGGAGTGTAAATATATGATATTTCAGGATCAGAGGTGGATAGAAGACAGCTAAGACTGCAAACTGGTTTATAAGCAGGGACAATGTAAACTAGAGCAGTACGATTTAAGTTGATAAGAAGGAAATGGAAACAACAGCAATACCAGAGAGTTCCTGATCAATAACAGAAGAGCATTGTGAGTAATTACAGTACAGAGAAAAATATTCTGTATTAGAATACTTTTTTCAAAGTATGAAAAAAATAAGCTAAAACAGAAATGAAAATAGGCTACAGTAAGTCGGAACACATCTGATATATACATTTGGTGATGAACAGGCATGTTCATCAGTGTATGTTACAGGCTGTAGTATTGATTACTAACCTATTATTATTATAGTATTATTTGCCTGGTAACACCTTTGTAGTATTCAACAAGTAATTATCCCTCCAACCTAAATTTCCTTGTCATTTTTTCTTTTTTTAATTAATTATCAGTAAGTGTCAGTTTATGGGACATTAGTCCCAGAGACACTTGCTGAGCCCAGATGCATTTAACTATGAAAGTTCCTTTATATATGTGCGAAAATGACAGGAGAAAGAACTCCAATATTCTGGATCTGGACAATGCCTAAAAACATATATAGTGGCAATCACAGGATTGTTTGTCTATATATCTGCTTGTAAGGTCTCACATGTAATTGTGATCTTTTGTGTGATGGTGTCTTTGTCCCTTGTTTTTATGTTCAGATATTTTATGCTCAATTGTTTTTATATGACAGAATGTCCCTTTTTAGGCTCTAGAGATGGTGAGATTATGGATGGTGGACAAGCTAACACCTATGATCCTTTCTACAAGTAAGCTGATTAAAATTAAAAGGTGTCTGAAACAAACCTAACCACCCATCTTCCAAAAGTGCTTTATCTGAAACAGTGTCATCTTGAGAGCTTCAGTCCATCCCAGGAAGCAGAGACCAGGGGAACTCCCTGGACAGTATGCCAGCCCATCACAGAGTGGGCACACACACACACACACACACACAAAGCAATGGCGTCATGGAGCCTACGACCCTATCCACTAAGCCACCCTGTCAGCAACACTTTTAAAAACCAATTCAAAACAATGTAAATCTTTCATAATTCTTTCTGTCACTAATAATGAATCTATACCGCTTAGTTTCCAATTTACTGATATGCAGAGTGGACTCAGACCACTATAGTCTATATTGTATTTATTTAAAACTGATCGATGCATTAACCAAGTAGTAATTTACATGAATTTCTAAATTAATTCGTAATTTTATTTTACAACTACAACTACTTGCCTTTTGAATTGAGTTTTAATTGATTGATTATACAAAGAACACAATATTCCCGGTATTAATTACTTTTCTTGTAAGGTGGTACCAAGCTCACAAGCAGCTGCCTTTTTGTCTTTTGGGTATTGACATTTGGTCAGATGACTATTCGTGCTGTCAAGCCCACAATAGCGTTTTCCACCGCATGGACCAAAGCACTATTAAAACACATATTTTGATGTTCCCTGAATTCCCTGTCGAAGCGCATTTTGTTAAATGCACCTGCAATACTACAACTAAACAACAGAGGTCAGCAACGACTCTTAAACCTATGAAACTAGAAACAAAATAATTACTGCCCTTGCCGGGCAAGGAGTGTCACGTGATGATTCGCACACGTCAGCACGACGAACGCAGCGCACATGGCGAGCTGCTGAGCGGCTTTTTCCTGTGCACTGATTTAGATCATTTAGGGAGCAGCAGATAGGTTACATTACAGTGGACCCTCGAGTTACGACCGGCCTGACATACGAACAACTTCGGTTACGACCAGAATTTTAGTTTTGGACTTACGACCAAAGTCTTGCGTTAAGACCCGAATGCCGGTCGAAGGCACGAACGTGCTTCGATCGTGAAACAGGCCCCAGTTGTCAGAATTGATATTCCGTAACAACATTGCATAACAAGTATATTACCGAGCTCTAAACTAGGCTTGTGCAAAAAGACTTGGCTTATGATCTCTCGCTTTAGAGCATTAGAATGCTGCGTATTACACCTGTATGGAGAATAACGAATATGAGGCATATATAGGCCTAATTAAGTTAATTACACAAATTGCCTACTCGTTTCACAAGTACCGAAGTGCATGACGTTTAAAGTTTACTCATGTCCATTGACCACAAGCTGAAATTTAGGATGCCCTATGTTCCACCTGCGTAGAAAAATAATGGACATGTTCGGTTAAACTATTTGGTAGTGGCCCCTGCATGTGCTTGTGATTTCGTTTAAGTGTGTAACACGTTGAAATGGAGTTTCAAAGCGTTGTGCGTCTTCCGAAATAAGAGAAATTTCTTAGTTGTTTTTCCATTTGGGACATCGCGGACCGTCGAGCCAAGCAAACGCGTTAATTCACAACTGGAGCTGTAAACATTTTAATGTTCACAATTTATTGGATGTGGTAATTGAATAACCAAGGTGTGCACGTTCACAACACACACGAATCTGTAAATGTGGAATTTCCTTGTTATAATGTTTTAATAAATACAGAGAAGATCCGTGAATGTCTGGCGAATATCGGACCCACTTCTAAGTTTACTCTGGTATAGCAACTTACATAAGTGATGTTGCTTGTTGAAAATACCCGTAAAATACTGCTATAGGCTACAGCCAATAGTTTTTATATGGCAGGCAGAAATACCAGGCGGAAAGCTTCACAATCTAACGCGAAAGCCCCTGCCTTTATAACTTATGACACAAATACAAAAACTATACTCAGTACACACGTAAAGCATTCTTTTCACCTTTTATTTTCCCCAGTTGAAACAGGAGCAGGAAATATTGCCCAAATAAACAGCGCACCGGCAGTGGTCATCATTATATAACGACGTAAACGATGCCCAACTGAGAAATAATGGAGTTCAATAATAACACTAACCATCATAATTGCATATTTTAGTACGCTTTCATTGCTTAAATATATAGGGGAACCGCCATCGCCGTTTGGGAGAAGAACTTTAAACAGTAACCAGTTTACACATTTTAGGGATTATTTTTTTTGCCAGGGAGTGCTTATTGCAGAACCCCATGATGAATTCATGTGTCCCTTTTTAAACCCGATAACGCAATTTGACTTGGTGTAAATACAATTAGTTGTAACTAAAAGTGAAAACTCTTAACACACATTTTCGATTATA